AGCTTACAAGAGCTTACATTTCTAACTATGTAATTAAGAAGGACCACATCCGGCAGCCACACTTAACGCTAATCGTGTAATCGTGCCGGGGAGACTCGGGCCAAAGAGACGCGAACAGATTCGGAGACGAATACGTATAGGTGACCTCCCTTCCCTCCTCTTGTCTATTTACATATCAGAATTTAGTTTCACCACCGGAGAAAATCAACCCTCCTGAGATCTCAGCGATCCCTCAGCGAAAATGACTTACACATTGAAAGCGAGAAAAAAAAGATATACTTTGTCTCCAAAGTAGCAAAGGATTTTAGAGAGCTAGCTTTCGCTCTTTTCTCCCTTCCGACTTTACCTCTCGATTCTTACAACCCGGACCTACTTGTCCTTCCCCCTTCCTCCTCCTCATTCGTCTTTTCATCTTTTCTTCCGACGTATCCTAGGTTTAGAGGAATATATTTGTATTGTCAGTTATCACACGCTCTCTATTAACACACACTCTAATATACTCACTACTTACAATCTATAACTCTTCTAGTAATGATTCTTATTATTATTATTAAAAAATACTACTATTCCGTAACACACACACATTCACACACATATACATCTCCGTAGGACGTAAATACGTGCCCTGTTATTGTTGGATTGATTATCGATTGCGCGCCACGTGTGAAGAAGATACGAATCTTTTCAAAGAGAAGACATGCGTGAATGTTTTGCGTTTTACATTTCTAAGTTTCTTCGAACTTATGATTATCGCCCAGTCGTGTTGTAAAAAAAAAAAGAGTAGAGCTTATTTACTCACACATAAACACACACACATACACATACACGCATACTTTTACGGCTTATTATTATCACATACTTCCGCATCGTTGTTGCATCGTTGTCACTTTCGGCGCTCGGTTACCACGCACTGAGAGAAAAGAAGAACTTTTAATTACGCTGAAGTTGCCTTAATTAATTAAGATGACTTAAATAATTTCCCGCAATTAGTTCGAACGTGAGAGCAATTCTGCTGTAGAGGAGTGACAATCGTGCTCGTTATTAATGTCGATTGTTCTCGTATATGCAAAATATTTAATATATAAACTATTAGCTGTGCCAAGTAGTGTTTTTTTGTAAAAAAAAAATATAACGAAAAAGAAATAAAGATTATTGCTGCAAAAAACATGAAAGTATATAATCTATCTTTCGATAAATTCACCTGTCGGAGAAATGTTCGCGTTGTTGCAAAGAGACACGGAGCGCAAGATACCAAGATTAATCCGTAGAAGAAAAGCGATTTTTGCCTTAATGCGCGCGCAATTTTTTTTTTATCGCAATTTGATCTACTAACGCGCGAACTTTCGCAAGTTTTTTCTCTCAGTGAGAAGTACTCTCATTATTATATAACGTAGAGGAACTGTAGATTTCGAAGGGTACAGGCGCCACAGATGTAGAAAATCTTGCAAAATGTATGATAATGTGCGAGCAGATGAGAGGGCGAATCATCGCCGTCTCATCGTCATTGTTTACTTGTTACGATGATTAATTTCATTGTCTGTCGCTTTCATCATCGCATCATATGTGTTCAACATCGTTCAAGTATATTTCTCGCCGCCATTACAGATTTATGTTACATGACGGCCGTGATTTCTACGTAAGATTATATACGTATATCTTTTAGCATCGCTTTTTACTTATTTATTGTAGCGTGTGCGAACGATGACAAACACACATTTGTCCTCTTGTATCCATTTCTTACACGAGAATATTACATATGATTTATTTGCTCACTAAGGATGTGTAGTCGACATCTATAATCTAAGGTGTTTGAAAACAAGAGTATAAAGGTGCACAAAGTATAATTATGAATTTTATAAGGATGAAGCTTTATATAAATGAAGCTAACGAGGGACCATCAAACTTTAATATATCCATGTACAAAGATAGTGCATGCACGTTAAATTTGTAATCTCTTGTATGATTTTTTATGATTCCTATAGGAGAGCAATTAGACAACATCAATTACATATTTGTATATTACATGTGACATTAAACTCAGTCGCCTGATCTTTTATTTTATTTATTTATATACATGAAACACTATACACACATACATTCATATGTATACAAGATATCCTATTTCAAATGCTGCAGTAAAAAATGAAGAATTAAACGATATAGGAAAAATAGTTTCTAACAAAGGTTGTAATTTTTCCAATATTATTTGATCATCCAGATGTCACGAGAGCATTTAAAATCGTATATTCTGTATATATTGCAAGACCGACACAGTGAAGATCATATGGCGAATTTAGAGTTTTAAGAGCGCCAATCAAGCGCAAAAATTTCTCGATTTTTTGACACAGATCGAATGCTTAATCCATCGTTATTACACATCCTCTATTCTTATTTTATACTCCCTTTTCAAGCACCCTAGAAGCAATCTAATCCTAAAACATGGTACGATAGAAAGATTGATGATCAAGCAGAAAAAATTTGCTCATTAAAGTATTTGACTCTGCTACGCTATTTGAGGATTTAATATCACGTATGCGATTCTTGTCATTTGTTCAATGTGCATAAGTGATCTGAATCAAGCACTAATCATAAGAAATGAACGTGAAATTCGGCAAGCTCTATTTTTTTCAGGTTGCATCATTCGATAGAATAAAATGCAATAAAACAAAATGTAGAGAGAGAAATGATATATATTAAATGTGATATACATCTTCTTTGAATATTTTTGAATTAATTTTCCAGGAAAGATAAGTCGCTCTCTCTCATATGTATATAAAATAACTCCATACATTTCTCCAACGCGTATAAAATAAAATACTTTAGATTCTACTTATTTAGTTAACTTACTTATTACCGCATGTAGATTACAAAAAAAACACTCGTCTAAGGAAGATTTTATTTAGTTTTATCTTGATTCTTACACTTCAATCTTGAATCAAGTGTTTTTAGCGATCAGATATAGAGAGCAAACGTGAAAAGAAGAAAATAAGAGAGAAAGAGAGATAGGGTGAAAGAGAGAGAAAATGAATGAAAGAGACTGAGATTGAGAGAAGGATCGCGTGTACACTGCTCGTATAGAGATTTGAGGAGAATCCATAATTGTACCAAATCGTTATGTGTTTTGTACTTAAAAAAGAAATAATTTTCAAATTTCAGCGTTACATTATATTTCAGGCAAGAAACGAATTCATATGGAAACTGTGAGTCACCGAATATCTTTGTGCAATCTTACGCGAATTTTTAAGTCAATATCGCTCGCAGTGCTTTGCTGATTGATCTTTTTCATTCCTGTCTATAAACAGCAATGTAAAAAATTCAGAAAATCATCTGGCGAATCGCTAAGCCGAGTTCAAATTAGACATGGATAAATCTATCGAATTATGTTTTCTTCAAACTCTATATTTGAATAAAAATTGCAATAGTTTCACAACTTATCGATAATTCACAGCTTTCATCGAGTCGTAGCTTCTCTTGCAGCATTAAACATTTAAATTTAAAAAATATTGTCTTACTTTTAACTATACTTGCCACACATACATGACGATTTGACGATTTAGATTTTCCTTGACATTTACGTAAGGGCAATAAAATATATTGTACATTTTTCGAGTACAGTTGTATTTGAATGTGTAAGTTGCATAAAAAAGACAGATTTTTTAGATATTGCACTGTCATATTTATTATTCTATAATAATGATCGATCGGCTCGACCGGATCGACCGCGCTCTCAAAGCTACAATGTATAATATATACGCATTCTCGCTAATGTATTTCGCGAAATTTCTCGTTTCTTTCTTTTTTTATAGCATTACGCGAGTGCCGTCGATCTGGCGCCCCACACACACACACATACATATATACACACACACACATACATACATTATGAATTAATATTATTAATAATAAAAGAAGGCAAACGCGTGCGCGAAATACGCATTGTTCTTTCCAATAAGAGAGGAAGACATGGTTTTCAGTGTTTTCACTACGATTGAATAAACGACTCTATATTATTACATACAATATTATATTAATAATACGAGATATTATTACACTGTAATGTTTGTTTTTGGTTATTAAAGTGTGTATATAGCAATATATTCTAGAAACGGTCGCTCTCGTGCATTTCTTCACTAAACCTTTTAGAAATTAAGATACCCGAATTACAATTTTATTCTTTTTTACTAATTTCTAAATAGTCGTAACAAAACAAGTCCTCCGCATCATTACTTTTAACTTTAATCCCTAATTTAATAATACTTTTTAGGCATCTCGCACATCCATTTTCTTTCCTTTTCTTCTTATATCTAACCGTTTAATTTGGCTTCTTATTAGTTCCAAATATTTAAATTCATTGTGATTAAAACAAATTATAAGGGGAAAGAATAATTTAACTATCGAAAAATTTTAAAAATCGTATTTAATAAGGAAAGATTTGTGAAAAGGAAGGAAAAGTGCATATATATAATAAAATCAATTTTTTAGAACTCATTAATTTACATGGAAAACATTGAATGCTTTGTATATATTACAGACTTTCCTGATTTTATCACATCATCATAATTACAATTAAAGACCATGAATTGTAAAGTAGCACAAGTTTTTGGTTTTAATTATACATCTTTTTCATCCTATTACTTTTGATACAAACTTTTTTACTGTATAATTATATAATAATTATATAATAATCAAATATAATTTTAAATATCATGCAAGATATATAGTTTCTTAGAAGGCACAATCGACAGAGACTGCACAAAAAGTTATGAACTATGTAATAAACTGTTTAAAAAATAATATATAAGGCAATGCACAATAATTTCGCAATAATTTTGGCATCTATATATTAGAGTAATTTTGTCAAGAAATTGTTTCGAAGAATATATTTCGAATACATATTGCAAGATATATATTTGAAGAAAATCATAAGAATAGGAAAAAGAAAAATTTAACAAAATATTCCATCATTAAAAACAATGGTTATGTCAAATTGAAACATTAAGCTCGTTATTTATTATATTTCGTTTTTTATTATATTAAATATAGATAGTCAGGTCATCATATAAATCGTGTTATAAATTATGTCAATTTATTGTATACCTAATGTTATTTTGTATCTTATTCACTTACAATATATATCATATAAAATCATGTCCCTACATATGCATTGTAATAAATAAAAAATTATGTATATCCAAATTTAATTCTAGCATTAAAAAAAGCTAATTGTGGTCAATATTAAACTTTACTTGATTTGAATTTTTTTCGTACACCATCATTAAAGCCTTCTCTATTTCTGGCAAGTTCTATTGCGTAAAATTGAATTCGAGTTGTCAATATACTGTTTTTTTCCGTATAATCTTGTGTGCAATCTGCCCTTAATAATGTGCCAAAACTATAATCTTCCACAAGATCCTTAAACTGTTCACAAAATGGCCTCCATTTTTCTTTTTCTTGTGGAGACTTGAATTCATCTTCATCAATCTTGTCCACTTTCATATTAGGGAAATTTTCTCTAAATGCTTTGTAGATGTCTTTATCATGAGGTGTAAGCTTCAAAATCTTTGGGTCAACGGAGCACAAAATCTGAAATATAATCTCTTTTATTTTTATTCTTATTTATTAGAATGCATATATGTAATACTTACATTAAAATAAACCTGTGCATGTTCCATAGCTTTCATTGCCCACATTGCTTCTACAGATGGCTAAAATAATATAATTAAAAAGAAGAAAATGAGTCCAATTTTTTAATATAATGTTAATAATGTGAAATAAATATAAACAAATAATAACTTATTCATAGTGTGTGTACTTATTCATATTGTAATAATATACTAGTATTAAATTATTAAGTAATAAATAATTAATACTGATATAATATTTAATATTGATAATAAATATTATTTGCACATTTTACTTACATCATTGTCAAATTCTTCAGCAGGTCTTGACAATATACTGGAACCAGCAATCAGTTGATCTGCCGTCTGAAATATAACATTTATTACATGTCGCAGTATTTTTATAGAATAATATGCCATGTCAAAAATTATTAGATATCCTTAAATTTTTTTATTTCTTAATATATAGGTCAAAATAGTAAAACATAAGTAAAACACTATCAATTTTAGTTTGATTATTTAATAATTGTTTGAATGAGCATCAAAAAAGAACATTTAGTAATTTTAATGTGACAATCCTTGCAAATGCAATAAGAAAATCTAGATTCATTTATCCTTGCTAAGTTTAGATGGTTTTAAAGAACCGATTTATTAAAAAAACAAAAAATGAAATTAGAATAGCGGAACAAATAGAACATGAATAAAGAATAGGGAAAATTTCTAAAAATCAAGGAATATTATTTAACACACATATGTACTTTGCTAATTTAAATCTGACTACAGTCAAAATGAAAATAATACATTTTGTAAACCCAAAATTGTCATTTCTTAGAAATAAGCAAATAAATAGTGTCTAATAATTTTATAGACATGGGTGATATTAAATAATTTGAAATGAAAATATAACTACTTTAATAATTAATGTTAACAGTGTAAATTTTGATGAAATGAATTTGTTACAAATTTTAGGCAATATTAGTCAATGATTTATATAAACTATTTCAATTATAATTACGCATTAGAAATACAAATGCAATGATCAGTTAGGTTATCGTACGATTTTACGAGAAAAATAATTTACATACCACGTTTCCTATTTGAGCCATTATTTTTTTAGAATTATAATATCAGATTCGTATGATTTTATATATGATGTGTATTATATACTAATTTATTGGTATAATGAAGTACAAAATCAGCTGAAAAGATCTCGTGAAAGCGTCGAATACATCAACCACGTGTGTATATGTGTAACACCTTAAAGGTGCAATTTCATTGAGGCTAAAAAGTAGCGTCAATGGTCCATTGGTTGAACAAAGAAGTAAGTAGTTGCTTCATTGTTTAACCAATGGTTGACACTACTTTTTAGCGTCAATGAAATTCCACCTTAGAGGTACAATTTCATTGACGTTAAAAAGTAGCGTCAATGAAAAGGCCGCTTAAGAGAGAGTGGGTTCCGTTCGACGCTACAAAAGTTTCAAATCATTTGATTGACCAATCAGAACGAACGGAACAGATATTTACTTCTTTGCTCTAATTTAAAATAATTGATAAAGATATTCTACATTTTATTATTTATAATATTATATTCATGAACAATAAAATTGAGAAATATTCTCACGAATTATTATAAGTAATATTATTATTCTCAAATCTTACTATTTATTATATGTAAAATTATTTTTATAACATTTATAATTATTTTTATGTAACATAATTTTCATACATAATAATGAAGGAAATATATCTTGCATATTCTTTAATTTTGATATGTTAATTAAACAAGACATTTAATCTTATAGGTATAAACACAATAAAGCAAAAAACAGAGAATTATTCACTTTGTAGAAATAAATATTTATTAAACAATCATCCGTATTTTCATTAAAACAATTCTTACATATTAATTTATAAAAATAATAATTTCTTATAAGTAGTAATTACGATACTACGACGTTACGATACGACCAATATATTAAGATCAACTTTATAGTTCTGATTTTCATTGTTTCAGTTTCTATTAAAGATTATATTAATAATCAATATATTCGCCAAATTTTCTTTTAACTCGCCAAACATATACGTACCTGGTACCTGTTGTTTACATTGATGTGTGAGAACTCTGAAGACTTCTTGTCCAACATGCTTTCATATCGCTATCTTTCGAAAATTCATATCATAACATAAGTAAAAAATGATCGAAAAACGAGTGTCTTTTCACAAGTCGAAGTTTTGCTCCTCTTTTCAATTTAATTTTTATATGTTTATTGATTCTACAGAATTTCGATACATTTAATTTATATAGAAATTGAGTTTTTTTATTTGTATCTTAAATAAGCAATAAACCTAATATTATTATTTAGCAATTTTCTATTTATAATAAATAAATCGCATAGTATTTTGAAATATTTGAGATGTTTGGGCACAAGAACGTATGTAGAAACGAGACGAAAACAAAAATCGTATATGAGAAGCTTATTTCCATTTAAACAATGTATTTTATTATTCTGAATTTTCACTCTTTTTTGTATAAATTATAATTGAGAACAAATGATTTTATACACGAAGGGAAACGTAAACATTATTTCGCTCTCTCTTTCTACATCATCATAATAAATTATGACTTTCACTTTGTTACGTGTTCACTTTGCCGTTAAAAAATAATTAAAGAAGTAGGAGAAAAAACTTTCGCAATAAAGGTGTCGGTTTTTATAAGTTTCTTTTTCTTTAAAAAGGACCAAATACATATATTTCATTGAACATATATTTCATTTAAAATAACATATATTCATTAATTACATTTTTAAACAGAAAAAAATATAATAAAATTCAGATAAAAATGATTTATCCGTAAAAATAATTTGCATCTGAAATTATCGATATTCGTCATACTGTAGAAAATAAAATTTTTCGAATTAAAGAAAAAGTTTAAAGTAGCACGAAAATTTGTCAGAGTATGTTTATATATATTTTCTGGAACAATTAATTGATTATGGAAAATTCGCATAACCAATAAAACAAATAAATATTTCTTTATAGCGTGAAGAAACTTCGACTTCTAATGTTTTTATTCATATTGAATAAAAGAAATTTGTCTCTAGAAATTTGTTTCGTTAAATGTTACGCATAGAAAGGTCCTCATATCACAAAACATTAAACGTCAATCATTTATAAGAATTTATAAGAATTTTTCGTCTTACGATATTGCTATTCGTTTGTCACTAGAAACGATTAAATGACGATGTATTCAGAATTTAAAATATGAAATGTGTCAATATCAATGAATGCCTGTCAAAAAGTGCTTGCTGGTTGCGATCTGGAGGAGATCCCGGGCGAAGTATCTTCTCAGGTAAAATATACATGAGCATAAATTGTAAATTAATTTTTCTCTTCATAAAAGAGTTCCTCTTTTTTTTCAGCAGCGCAAAGTCATCATTTTCCATACACGACATAGGACATTTTGCACGCGCGTAAGTACGCGAATAATAAGTGTTCTTACATTATTCATAATAAAAAGTCAGTCGATTAACGCAGAAATCATCACGGGCAATGTCGATAATTTAATGATCGCATTCAAAAGAATTCTTAACATACATCCATCTCACCGAATGTACGATTCTCTCTTGTGGCCGAATTACAGAGAGCTAGTTAATTAGAGCGAAAGCTGAATCGAGACAAGCGAGCATATCCTTCTCCTTCTCGACGTTGGTTCGCATTCGCGATTTGCTGGTGCAATCGGGAACATTCTGATTTCACCAACGAGGAAAGAAACTGGCGAATTGTGTGTCTTAACATTAGAAAAATCTTATTTGTTTACTTACTTCTTGTCTCGAAAAATACGGCATTATCTTCGCGCGGCCAATTAACGGAAGGTGATGAATTATTCGTTATCGATACATGAGATCGAGATAGATTGCAAAGTGAATCTATCCAATTAATCGTTTAAGTGTCTCACAATCAGTCAATCTGTCAACGATGGGCAACGGAAACTCAAAAGCTAATCATCAAAACGGCAGAATGTAAGTCTTTCCCAGTCGAAATTTTTCTTTTCGCGATCTCGATTTTAATATCATTAATAATTTAAGCTCTGTTGGATCATTCTCTTTGGAAGCTATTTAATTTATATTTAATTTATATTTGTCGAAAACCCATTTTTTAAAACCTTTAAATAAGAAACTGTTTGGAGCAAATATAAGAGCTCAATTTTAATACAAATTAAATTTATCGAAATTTTCTGAAATCTACAAATGTGAGAAAATTGAGGTTGAAAATAGGAGCAATTTTTGACTAACAATAAAATGTGTTTTCGTTTCTATCTTTCTTTATATTTTCTTAAATTAACGTTATTACTAAAAATCAATGAATAGTCACTGATAATTTCAGTTATAACATTGCAAATCAGGGAAATCTTATTGAAAGAATCAATTAGTAATAGTGACTGTTTCAATTAACAATATCTTAAAATACATCTAATATCACGTATATAAGATAAATTTAGCAATATATATATATTTTATTAAAGAAATATCTGAGATTGTGATCAAGAGTCTTACAATTAGTTATTTCTTGCTTTTCACATTTTAAAAGTAAAAAAAATATGTAATATATATATATATATATATATATATATATATATATATGTTTCTAAATTTAAATATATGTTTATTTCATATATGCATATATAGCTTCACTTTAAAAAGTATTAAATACATTAAAAAATATTAAAATAATTAAATATTAAATATTTAAATATTTAAAAAATATTAAAACAAATAGGGGAAAATATTACATTTTGCATGTATAATCATTAATTTTTAAATAAAACATACAATGTCAACAACTCTTGATTAATATTGATTTAAGTCACAAATAAAACGAGACATGACAAATATTTTTTAATGCTCTCTCTAAATTATACAACCTTCATAATAATTAATTTTCGAATAGCTTGAGGGAAATTGCGTCATTTAGACATGTCTTGAGATTGAATCATTTAGAATGTTCGAAGAAGATTAATCTTCGTTATTTCTGACTTCCACGAAAATTTTCCATTATTTCTTTAAAATTCTTAATTTTTAATTTCTTTGAAAATTGATATTTAATATATTTTGATTTTGTAATGTGCATGTCTCAGGTTAATATTAAACTATTAAATTTTTTATAAAAATATCACGCTTTACTTTTGTGACTGATGTTGCGCGTTAGTATTGAAAAGTTAAAGTAATGAAAAAAGTAATGAAGTAAAAATTTCAATGTCAATCGGAATTAATCATCGCGTGGAAAACACGTTTTCGTCGATTGCGCGTTCGATATGCGTGTTGTATTGATAACTCGCTAAAACGATAAGCGATTTCTACCGTATCGATCGATTTTCTGCTGAAAGAAAACAATAATAACTCTGTAATAACTGATAGAGTAAATTCGTGTGATACACATACATATTAGAGAAGATACGACATCTTCGCAGACGCGGAAGATAAGATACGGAGAGTTGTATATTGTTCTTACAATTAGTCTATATATAATAATAGAGCATGTCTTTGAGACAATTTTTGAGACCGTTTAGCTGTCTGACGGGCTTTCAAGGCCGCCTATCAGACGGCCTGCGTTACATCATCCGGGAACTTAAGGCTGAAACCTCATGTCGTCAGCATCAGCTGTCCAACGGCATCAGGTAAAACCGATACGTCACGATCTCGAACAATCATCCGTGCAATGTGCGAAATACTTGCGTCATTCTCTTTTTTATTTTTAAAATTTTGCTCGTTTCGAAGATAATTTCTTTTGTTGTTACGCGCGAGCCGTATAGTTGATGATTCATTTTGATGTGAAAATTTGATATTAGTATAAATATTTTGTATAAATATTGCTAAGCCAGCAGATTATAAATTAATTTTTGTTATGTATACATGAAAAAAATAATTTTTGTTTCTATTATATAATTAATGTGATGATTCAGTTGTTTTTAATTTACGTTTAAGATAAACAATCTTTTTATTAATTATCTATTAATTAATATTAAATATTACAAGCACTTTAGTTGTAAGAGATAATATGTTGTTTCTATCATTAATATAAATATCAAACAGATCTTAATTGAAGTTTAAACAAATATAGGCTTAGATTTATTATTTAATGTAGATAAATATTTACACTAATCTATAACGATGTATGATAATCTACAGTGATTCATAAAAGATAAAATATCATTGGGAATCATGGATCATCAAAGATAAAGAATCATTGTCAATAATATAATAATTACTTTCATCATTATTTATAATATAATAATTACTTTGTTGATATATTTCTTTACTTATCTTATATATTTCGGAAAATTTCATACTTTCGGGTTTTTCCAGCTTCTTCTAATTCTTCCTGAATATTTCTTAATCATTTCCCCTTCATTTTTTCTATAACTATCTCTCTCAGTTTTGTATAATTATAAAAATATACATATAATATGATGTACATATATGACATAATGTTTCAACAATTTTTTAACTGATTGGAATAGTAATGCACAGTCATAAGTTGAGTAATTCGATTAAACTTTAAACTTTGATCTAGTCGAGGTAAGAGAATAAAAATGTAGCTCGAATTCTGTTTCTTTAAACTTTGAACTTTGTTCCATGTATGGTTTTTGACAATTGTAGAATTGATTTTTTATTATTATTTGCATGTCTCATCGTTGATTAAAGATTGATGAAAGGCATTCGTCAATCGTCTGTCGAAAGATGCTCAACACGCGCGATCGCGCGATGCTAGACGCGCGTGCGCCAGACTGTGCCTCTTTACAGACACGTATTTTGTATTGGCACTCCATATCAATTCGTTTTTTTCCTCGCATAATCAATCGATAACTAATTAATACATTCCAGACGAGAATCTCAAAATTTTATAAAATACTGTTATAAAATTACGACCTTAAATATTTATAAAATATAAAATTAATAAAATTAAATAAATAAAATAAAATAAATTAATTAAATAAGTAAAATTAAGTTAATTAATTAAATAAAATAAAATTGCAATTATATCATACAATATTATATAAAACGCATTTTAATGATAGAAGCAGAAAGAAGAGAAACTGTGCATGCAAATGATTTGTATGTCTATAAATATATAATTATAAATATTTAGTATAATTAATTATCTAACATATTTAATATAATTATTTAATAAAATATAATATATATTTATAACATATATTTTTTTTCAGTCAAATTAAAAATAACTCAACGCTGAGATAATTGTCAGCATGATTGGAATTAATAAAATGCGTTTTTAAAAATATGTAATAGTAAAAGACATCAATAATGTAAATAAAATATTAAAAAACGAGAGAAGGTCGCCCCCTTTACAGATACGGCGGTGCTCTTTATTCTCCCCGTACCTTTGATCACGCCGACGCGCACACATCATATCACTGTCGCGTTCTCTATCCTACCAACGACGGTGCGTTGCGTATATGTATCCGCGCGTACTCTCTCTGAGATATCTGGCATTCGTTCGCAGGATCCAAAGCAGTAGTAAGCTCGACTGCAGCAAGAGCAAAACGTCAACCATGTCGAGCGTGGAGCGCGATCAGCTGGGCCAACGAGGAAGCGGCGACTCGTTCTGCGCCGGTCTTTTGCGCGGCCTCGACCATATCAGGGACCCGCAATTGAACAAGGTGTGTTGTGTATCGCATAATAAATGCTATAGTTTGCTATAGTCGTCGCAAGATAATTGCTCTTCGTGATGTTTATTGTTTGCATATTAACTGCCATACAAACGTTTTAACTGAGGCTTGAATTAGCACGATGCGGAAATTGTTATTGCAAATTTAGAAAAACGATGAACGTTTTTATTTAAAATTTTTATTTAACAAAAAGACATATTTTATAAAAAAGATGATATTTTCATTATCATTGCTATCGATAAGCAGATATTCCGTCCTTTCGATAGTGAAACGTATGTCATTCCTTGGTCTAAAATATTGATTTATCATTCATTGATTCACTTACATAGCTGATCGCGTATAAAGAACCAGGAAAGAAAATTAGATTTTTTTTTCATATTAGCTAGTATAAAATAAGATTCGATATTTCTCAGAGATAATTCCAGGTATTTTAAAGTTAAATTATATATTAAATACATGTATTCTGATGTAATCATTTCGTGGTATGATCATGAGTGAACTATCAACTGACAATACGCAAGATTAGAATCAGCGATAATTTACACTATTTAAACGAATATTTTCTAGATGTTAAACTTAAAAGCAACAATTACGTGTGACGCAAATGTTTCGATAATAAAATGCAAAATGACTCTGCAAACCACTAGTGGAAATGTCTGACTACGCTTGCGCAATCTTGGAGCTCGATATAATTGAGCATTCTTTGCAACTTGATACGTTCCTGAAATTCCACCTTTGAATTTTCTCTCGTCGGATTATTCAATTTCGAATCGAAATAATTAGACAGAGTCTAAATTTCGACATTAAGTTTTGAGTCGCTTTCGAGTATTCTAGCAGCGAAACTGAGAGAAACACTTTCGACCTCTTCGTCAAAATACGGATAAATATTTGTTGTTAAATTTTCGAGATTCTATGCAGAAAAAAATTAATCACTCAGATTTTATGAAATATAACAAGTTTGTAATTGTATTTAGCTTTTAAAAATGATGAGAAATTATTTCAGTATTTTTTTCACGTATAAAGTATATGACTTGACCATTTTTTTGTAAAATCGACTGAAATTTTTCGTGCAGCAAGCTTGTAAAAGAATAAAGGAAAAATGAAATCTGGCTGCGCTTAATGATGTCTTCAAATCGTACGCGCGACACATTATTTAGCGTCATTGATCGGTCTCCTTTTGCCACGATCCTTGCGGTAGGTCATGGGAAAGAGTGAATTTATATTCAAGAAATCAAGAATAGGGCGCCGTATATCGATCCGTGCATAGGGTCGCCGTCACGGGAGTCAAGAACCCCGGCAACCGTTTCCACGGTCGGTTGTTTTGTCGCGGGATGCGAAAATCCCGCGTGATTGGGAAAAGTGATCGGGTAGTGCGCGCCGAAGATAAATGGAGACCGATTGGTGGACGCTCGTCCCTGATCAGAATCGCGCCTCGCGCATTCCTGAGACTCTGCTCGCTCTGGATGGAAGGGTATCTCCGTATTCTTACTTGCACCGCTGATTCCGCGACTTCGCTTCGAAATTTGCGATTTTTTTTTCGCACGATCGAATTTTTTTTTCATTTTAAATCGACGCGTCTTGATGCACCAAAGATATACCAGTCTTACATATTAAGTTTTATTAATCATTTTATTTTTATTTATTTCCTATTATTGAAGAATGAGAGTTTGTATTTTATATAACTGATTCGATCAATGCCGATTAATTTTTGTTATAGAATTTGTGTCTTATTCCGTCATGTTGTCTGTCTTTTCCAAATTTGACTAATTAATAAAATTTTATAAAATTAATTACATAGCACATAATAGTAATTATTCATTAGCACGTTAAAAAATAAGAGAAAGAAATAAGAAAAATAATCAAGTTATAAATAAAACTATGATAAAAAGAAATCTCTGAATATTTTGCATAATTAATGTAAAAGCATGACGAGTATAATTTACCTTGTTTAATAACGAGGAATTTCTGAGAAAATACTGAAACGCATCTTAGCCTTGTCAGCATTATCATCAGCTTACTCAGCTAGATATAAACATACCGCAAAAAATTATATCTATTAAAACTTGTAACACAAATTAGCATGAAAATAATAAGTTCAAAGTGTATTTCATAATTAAAATAATTTAATTAAAATAATTTAATTATGAAAATACCGTTAATATTAAAGTGTAAATATATTACTTTTATACATATTATGTAAGAGAAGCATCTCTACATATATTTTTGTTTCTCTTCAAATTATAATATATCATTTATAGAATTTGAAAGTTTTCAGCAATAATGCATATAATGGTCTTTTCAGGTAATTTATAATTTATAGGATTAAATCATATTATAAATTTATATTTTGTCTCACTCGAAATTTAAAAAAATAGCACGAAGAAAAATCCTCTTTTATCTTAGAGCAAAGTATTTTTCTTATCATCTTAGTTGGTCTTCGTTTTAAAATATGTATTAATGTACAGATAGAGAGAACCTCCACACACATAGTGGAAAAGTACAGGCTGATCGCGTACGCTGACCTCTCTCCATCGAATTAAATCAATTCGCCCTAATGTTCGACCAATGTCGTTTCAGAAAGGATAATTTTTCAAAGATGACAATATTACCCGTTACACGTATACCACCGTACACACGTATAAGAAAAAGTTGAGAGTAATATATTTCGTGCAACGACATTGAAAGATAAAAAAAGAATTAAATGCATGTTTTATCTCTAGTGATCTCTCATTCTTCCAAGGTTGATTTTATGTCAAGAGGAGAGTAAGGGTGTTGCTATGTTTGCGATACGTTATCACTCGGCATTTTAAGCTCACCATCTGCATATATGACAACGTGTGTATATGTTATCGAAAATAGAGTACATTTGGACGAGCAAAAAATTGCGACATTTTTTTTTAAACATTTTTGAAACATGCAAAAATTGTTATTTTTTCCTATTTTTTTCTTATGTCCAAATAATTCGCGAGTGTACAGATATATTTGCAGACTATTTTGTATCTATAAACTGATCGCATTTTAATGATCAAACATTTTAGTTGTGTGAGAGAACGTATACATATATATATAGACTTAAAATGATTTATTGTATATATAAAGTCCATAAATAGCAATAAAAAAGAGAGAATATTTTTATCTCACAATCAGTGTATTTCTCCATTTTTTATTTTGAAATCAGTTGTTGAAATCATGTATCGTTGAAAAACAAATTGTTGAGTCACTGACGATTTCAATTATAAGTACGTATAATATTGTAAGTTAGTGAAATTTAATTGAAAGACACAATTAATAACGGTTATTGTTTCAATTAGTAATATTTTAAAATGTTTCTTATAACATTATATGTGAAAGTTAATTTATAGCGATGTATTTCATTAAAAGAATCAAAAAAATATCTGAGTTTAAACCAAGAAACTTTCACTTTCACTTCAAAAAACTTCTTCATTTTTCATAATTTTATGAAATTGAAAAATTAAAAAATTTTTAATTGAAAATATTTAAAATTGAAAAATAATAACCGGGAGATAAAGATTGTAGTTATCGTTGCTAGAGCGAACCGATTTGATTATCTCTTCTTGAATAATATTATGCATAAACTCGTTAAACTTTTCCGGTGGTTGGAAATAATAGAATCACCAAACAATGCGGTTCATTAACCGCAGTTAGATAAGTCAACCGGATAATGAGTCGCCTTATAAATTACATTTTTCTTCAATATTGAAGAAAACACTAATACCCACTACATCATTACGCGATTTTTATGAATTTGCATTATTACTCTTATTACGCAATTGCTGGTTTCACAATTAATCTTGCTAATCTTGCAATCTTGCTCAGTATTAAAGACTTTGGAAAGATATTCTCAAATATAGTGAATAGAATTATAGTGTTTGATTTTTCCTTAAACTTTTAATTCTGTCGTTTATTATTCTTTTTTTTTAAATTGTAATTATGATTTCATGTAATATATTCCACTATTAAATTAAACGATAGAACAGATAACTCTCTACAAGGTTGTATTTGAAATGCATCTGTTAAATTTTAATGATGGAAATAATTGCAACGCATTGACATTCGTTTGATCGCGATCGATATTTTAAAGATTACTTGGCACAGCTCAACATTCACTTTAAAAAGTATTACAAATATCCCTCTAGGATATAATTATATCATCATGTGTTGATAGTTATGTGTGTATACATATTATGTGTCTATAGTTATAATTAAATTATTAAATCATTATTAAAATTAATTATTAAATTAATTATTAAGTAAATAAAAATATATACATATAAATATATAAATATATACATGGATATACACATATGTATACACGCGTTAATCAAGATTCAGTCACGATTTATATCGTTCCATGCATGTATAATTAATTTTCTTTTTTAATTTTGCGACACTTGATTTATCTTCGTATAATAATATCTATACCAGATTCTATATTAGATATAATTATATTGCCATAGGCATTATAAGAGTATCCTTGCAAGTGAATGAGATCATACAAGTCCTGAGGGTACACATGTGTGTTCTCTCTCTTTTATACACACATAGGTACTTAAATCACTCCAATCTTCACCGGAATTTATCGTGATACACGCATGTACATTGACCAATTCAGTTTGTAAAAACCGAGGTGGAATGACGATCAGCAGATCACCTTTCACCCACGCTAGGATTGCACAATCAGCAGTGTTAATTCTTTTTTAATTGCGGTCAGAGTCGAAGTTGTCGGGGCAAAAAATTAGAGTTGAAGATAAAACGCAGAGCAAATTTGTTTCTCTGGCTAAATTGACTCGTTCTTAATCTTTCTGATTCACGAAACACTATGAGAAAAAGAGTTTGCGATAACGACACGTGCGTGTCGCGTGTGAGTACTAAAAATGCAATCTCTCGCTATAAAAATATACTCGATAATAGCAACGTGATCGAACTGATTAAACTGAAATATATATATTTAACATATCCGAAAGAGGCATTCGATTAATTTTTTTTAATCTTCAGAAAGAGCAAGAGACTCTAATACGAGTCAAAATATAAATGAACTCGAATGTGAGTTTTTACTCAACTTTTTTTCATCAAACATAATTAAGGATGTTTTGTACCTATTTTCAAAATATTGAGAATTTAATGAAAATTGTACAGAACGTCCTTACATATGTTTAGAACCCTTCAGTTTTTAAATCGATTTTAAATCGATTCACTAAAGTGTTCACAAGTTATAAGGATTTTAATTGCACCGAATTAACATGTGTCCTTATGGGAAACGTATAACCACATCGATTCAAATGACAAAATACATGGAAATAATATTCAGAATTTGTTTAAAATTTGCAAAAGTTTAGATACAGAGGAAATATTTGGTCAAATAATATTATACAAGTACTAACTGATTAAAAAGATATTAAATATAATTCAATGAAGTTAGCCATGTATCTGTCACAAGACGAAATTCTCTGCCAAAAGTTAATCATTTCGATTAACAAAATTCGGAATATTTCAATAAAAACGCAATAAATATTAAAAAATGCATCTCTGCACTGTAGCTGAAATCAAATTGTAATATTCCACACAATTTCTTACTCAAAATACACCAAAAGTGGATATATTCGTCAATATTGATTTTCAGCTACTTTTTGCTGGGATTGTACATACAAAACATTCTTAAACAATCGCTGCGTTACAGGGTATGGCGTTCACCATCGAGGAAAGGCAGATGCTTGGTATACACGGTCTCCTACCAGCGGCTGTGAAAACCCAAGACGAACAGCTGGAGCTCTGCCGTCTTAACTTGGAACGCTACACGGACGATCTCTCGAAATACATATATCTCATAGGCCTACTGGTACATACCGCTGAAACGCGGCAACTGTATCGCTTCGGATCGGAGATCCGCCTATTATGGATCTCCCGGTCTCCGGCTTAATCAGATCCCCCCGTTCGTCTCTCACGTTGATTCTTACATAGAGTCTTGTTCCTCCTAGGACAGAAACGAGAAACTCTTCTACCGTTTGTTGGCAGAGGACGTAGGTAAAATGATGCCGCTGGTGTACACGCCAACTGTAGGTCTGGCGTGTCAGAAGTTCGGCCTGGTCTATCGAAGGCCCCGTGGCCTCTTCGTGAGCATCCACGATCGAGGACACGTCTACGATGTTCTGAAGAACTGGCCCGAACACGATGTACGGGCGATCGTCGTCACCGATGGCGAGAGGATATTGGGACTGGGCGATTTGGGCGCGCATGGCATGGGTATCCCGATCGGGAAATTGTCATTGTACACCGCGTTAGCCGGCATCAAACCTCATCAGTGTCTGCCTATCACCCTGGATGTCGGTACCAATACCCAGGTGTGTGAAAACATGTTGCACTTTTGAATGCTGTAGACTACTCGAAATATTCTCGTCTTGTTGCTCTTCATCAATGAACAATATATGTGTATTTAATTTAAAAAATTCATGTGCTTCAACCATCGTTTTCTCTCTTCTTGCAGTCGTTATTGGACGATCCTCTGTATATTGGTCACAGACACAAGCGCGTCACCGGCCAAGTTTACGACGACTTTTTGGACGAATTCATGGAGGCTGTTGTGAAGCGATACGGCCCGAATACGTTGATCCAGTTTGAGGATTTCGGCAATGTTAACGCATTCAGACTACTCCAGAAGTATCGCGACGATTATTGTACCTTCAATGATGACATCCAAGGAACCGCCTCTGTCGCCGTCGCCGGATTATTGGCTTCGCTTCGCATCACGCGAAAGAAACTCTCGGAGAACACGATCGTGTTTCAGGGCGCCGGAGAGGTGCGTCGAGGCATTTAAGGATGTTTCGTACTTATTTGCAAGATATTGAGAATTTAATGAAAATTGTACAGAATGTCCTTACATATGTTTGGAATCTTCAGAACAATTTTAAATCGATTCACTAAAGCGTTCACAAGTTATAAGGATTTTAATTTGCACCGAATTAACAAGTGTTCTTATGGGAAACGTATAACCACGTCGATTCAAATGACAAAAACACATGGAAATAATATTCAGAATTTGTTTAAAATTTGCAAAAGTTTAGATACAGAGGAAATATTTGGTCAAATAATATTATACAAGTACTAACTGGTTAAAAATATATTAAATATAATTCAAAATTGAAGTTAGCCATGTATCTGTCACAAGGCGAAATTCTCTAGCAAAATTTAATCATTTCGATTAACAAAATTCGGAATATTTCAGTAAAAACGCAATAAATATTAAAAAATACATCTCTGCACTGTAGCTAAGATCAAATTGTTATATTTCACAATTTCTTACTTAAAATACACCAAAAGTGGATATATTCGTCAATATTGATTTTCAGCTACTTTTTGCTGGGATTGTACATACAAAACATCCTTAAGCCAATATAAAAAGAAGCAAAGGAGTGAAATATGATTTATAATCATAAATTGTTTACAGGCGTCGTTAGGTATCGCAGCGTTGTGCGTGATGGCGATGAAGAAGGAAGGAGTGACCGAGGAGGAAGCTAAAAGTAAAATCTGGATGGTGGACTCGAAAGGGCTGTTGGTGAAGGATCGTCCAAAGGGTGGGCTGACGGAGCATAAATTACACTTTGCTCGTGATGACGAACCAATCGACACCTTACTGGATGTCGTCAAGACCGCTAAACCGTCAGTCATCATCGGCGCGGCCGCTATCCGGGGTGCCTTTACAACCGAAATATTGAAGGAGATGGCGCGAAACAACGGAACCCCTGTCATCTTCGCTCTGAGTAATCCAACGAGCAAGGCGGAATGTACAGCTGAAGAAGCGTACATTGCTACGGAGGTCAGAAAATGATTACGTATATATTCTCGTCCATGAAATTGTTCTTAGAACATTCTTTTCTATAATTTTTAAGACATTCTGATTTAATAGAATCGTAAAATATATCGAAGACTTTTCGTGGATCAATATATTAATTATGTCGTAAAGTCTATTTTTATCGGAAATAGATTCATGCAGATTGAATTGTACGTGTTCAATGCAAGAGAGAAAAACTAGAATTAGTATATTTTATCTATTTACGATCTATATTATACAAATGTAAATTTTATGAAACAAAAAAAACTTGAAAAAAGTAACTTATTTTATAAGAAAAAAGATAAGCATGCTTTTATTAATTTATCATAATTGATATGATTGTAAAAGAGAAACAGGATCTTAAAATATATATGCAAATCTGAGAAATATGTAATTTTTCAGTAGATATTTCTGAATATTTAATCAATTATCGTTTTAATTATATAGGGAAGATGCATTTTTGCGAGTGGTTCGCCTTTCCCGCCGATTACGTATAACGGTAAGACCTTTTATCCTGGTCAGGGTAACAATAGCTACATCTTCCCTGGCATCGCGTTAGCCGTAATATGCGCCGGTATGCGCATCATTCCTGAAGAGACTTTCCTCATCGCCGCGTCGACTCTTGCCGAGATGGTAACGCAAACAGACTTGGATAGCGGAAATATTTATCCGCCGTTGCAGGATATACAGAAATGCTCGTTGAATATAGCGTGCGCGCTCATGAAATATGCCTACGAGAACTGTGAGTAAAAATATTGTTGTACAAACACGTGTGTATATGTTTCATGCGAAAATGCTTCTTCTTTTTTTAGGCCTTGCGACTGTCCATCCGCAGCCTAAAGATTGCGAAAGTTTCATCAAGGCGCAATTGTACGACACGAATTATAAATCGCCCATACCACCGATTTACGCGTGGCCTAAGCTGTAATTATCCCCTTTAATTGGATTAAGACTTATTTTTTTTGCACACAATTACTTTGGGTCCACAAAAGAAGACTATAGAAACGTTCATGGGAGACAAATTTTGCTTGTTTCCTCAAAGCCTGTTGATCGGGCTTATTTCAAGTAACGCGTATTAAGTAGAATATGTAGTTAATTTATAATAAAAAAAAAGGAAGAAGAGAAATTACGCAAAATGTCACGGCAATAAACTCGGATTTAAAGAAGTAGCATTATTTAAAGATATAAATGTAACAAGAATTGATTTTCTGGTTGAACAAATAAACATCGCTGATTTGAAAGAAGTGTATTTATTGCCTACTCGGAATATCTCTCTTGCAGAAGTATAGATATACCTCGTTTAACACGAGCAGCAGGTATATAACATTCTTCATTTCGCAGATATTATATAACTAAGATCAAACAAAACTTATACAGGTTGTGCAAATGAAATATGACGAAAAGAAGTGGGGACGGGATGGTCTTCGCATGTGCGATACACATCAATATTTCTGTAATATTCACAATATGTTTTTCGATTTGAATTAAATCTTCGTGAAATATATGATATATATAGAATATAAAATATCGATAAAATTTAGTTTTATTAGGCCAACAACTTAAAGATCGCTGTAGCATGAAATAAATCAATATAAATATGTGACAAAGAAAAATTTTCCACGACGCTCAGAAACTTCAAGTGGACTTCATATGCGAATACGAAAAAAAAAAAAAAAGAAAAAAAGAATCGTTGAGAGAACATTTTCTAAGACATAATTATGTATTCTTATGCTTTAAGATGTATATAATTCACAACGATGAAATTGGTGATTGTTACTCATACACTCTCTTTCTCGTCCTTTCGTTCGCTCGCTTTCGTTCGATTCTAATCAATTTTACTGTTTAAAACTATATCGCTATAGGATACCGTTTTACTTACGGCTAGAACACGTCCGTGGTCGTCAATTTATAACAAATAGTATATTATAAACTGCGGACCCAAAAGTGATCTTTTTACTCGAAACATTTTTGTCGCATATTAACATGGTAATAAATTTAAGAGACACAAATGTACACAAGAGCATTTAAAAAATTGCGGGACTCTGTTACGCTACACTGAGCAGACACACTGGCCTATCCGCGCCAGTAACGGGGACTACGTGTTGTCGCCATTTCGATGCTTGATAATCGCGATAAAAACAAACAGATGTAATTATCAGCGATGAAAAGTAATCTTCGCTGAAATAGTCGTCATTGAATGCACTCGAATTAAGTCCAAGTTCCACGTCATAACAGTGCACTACTGTCTTTTTTACTTAAAGATCCAAGTTTTATATCGAGTGCAAGGATCGAAAATTGTAAGAAAACCCAATGATCGGTATCTATACACGCGTGCGCACGCGTATACGTACATACACATACATACTTATATATATATATATATAAGTGCTATCCTTTAGCGGTTGAATGCTCACAACTCATTTCACGTCATCGGGCTTCGTTGCTACGAAAGAGACATGTTTTCATGAAAACTAATGATACCAGAACAAAGATGTAGGGCAGTAGTGTCGTTGAAAGTGGAGTGTCTGTCCAGCATGGAGGTCGGTCCCTTTCCTAGCTTCATCGAGAGAGTGAGTGTGATCGTTCGTGGGACTGTTGGGAGTCACCAGCCGCTCGTGGATCAGGCAATCTCTGTGACGCCGGCAGGGCGTCGAAAAACTGATGCGTCAATGCATCCTTTAGAGTGATGCGTTGAGCGGGTTCGTACTCGAGCATTCTTTGAATGAGATCGAACAATTGACGATGTTCTTCGTCATCGGACAGCATATAACGCTATAACAAAAAAAACGTTATTTTTGTATATTGTTTTGAGATTATTCTATATTGAATTACACATTAATATAATGTGTCTGAATGAACACGTAATGACTGGAGATTTATTCGATCGCTAATTGGATAAATTTTAATCGACATTCTCCTAATCTTTTTATATTCCCATTGATGAAACTCTAATCTTCAATGTGCAAATTCAATTTTAATGCCTAATTCAAGTTGAATGAAAATACTAACGTGCAATGGCTTGCAGTTATCTCGGACGTATCTGCCGGCCGAACTCTTGTCGTCCCAATCCAGTTTGCCGTGATAAAAGTACTTAGTTTTAGTTTTGCGGGCCATGCGATGCGGTATCGTGCCAAGTATGCGCTCCATCATCGCCAGATGCTCGCGATTATCGTGTGTCTGGAATAACGTGATGCCCAGGTATAACTCAAACAAAATGCAACCGATGGACCAGACGTCGCATGGTTGAGACCAGCCCAATTCTGCAAAATAGAGAAAGATTAATTTGTACGTAATAATATATATAATATACATTTAAGATCAAAAGAATCTTAAAAGAGAGGTACCTAGAATTACTTCGGGTGCTCTATAATGTCTCGTGCTTACGATCGTACTATGATGCTCGTGATCGAAAGTGGCGCTACCAAAGTCGATGAGTCTGATGTCAGTTCGTTTCACACGTCTCATATCCCTCCGCTTGAAAAGAAAGAGCTTTTTTTGACACACTTTAGAATAGAAATTTACCCTAAACACTAAATTTTAAGATTCGACCGACAATAATCTCAATACCCTATTACTGACAATAGCACACCTTTTTATTATTATATGTACTATCGTAATCCGAATCGACGAATAGAATGTTCTCCGGCTTGAGGTCCGTATGCGTGAGTTTGTTGTCGTGCAAAAACTTGACAGCGTAACAAAGTTGATAGCCCATGTGCCTGACGTGCTCCAATGGATACGGCTGATAACAGTTGTCCCTCTGCAACGGATATCATTCTGTCAAAACTCTTAGATTCGTCCGCAAAATTTCAATGTCAATATTCAAAGTTGGATACTTACCAAAAAATCAAAAACACTCAGACCCAGCATCTCAAACGCGATACACATATGCCCATGGTAATTGAACCAGTCCAGCATTTTCACGCACAAGCTAAAATGAGTGATAATAATTAGTCATCCACCAATAATTATACATGATCATCTTATTTATATAATTTAAATTGTAAAAAGATATCCTCTCGCTTGCATAGATTTGAACAAACAAGTTAAAAAGAAAGTAGCTGCGTAACTTCCTTTTGCCAAAACTATTTAAAGACGAGTAAAACGATAAGGATACCAACTGTTGGCCTTCCGGATCCTTGCCGGCGATCTTCTCGAGAGCGTTTATCTCCAATTTTGCCGCTTCTCTGTACTTTTCCACGTTCTTGATGATCTTTAGAGCCATCACATGATCCCTACAATATTTATTGCATAATGATAATGATATCTAAATGTACATGTGTCGTCATCGCTTGAAATCCAGCATCCCATGAGAATAAAGCGGGTGGATAAAATATTTGCAATAATCCAGGCGTTTCGCCCATAATTTTACATATTTTGCTAGAGAGAAGAGATATAATTCGCGGTCCCGTCGCGAAATATGCTCGGCCCGTAAAACAAAGTGCAAGGCCATCCTATTATTGCGACCACTCGCGCGTCATTTTGTGTGACAGTGCGGGATAGCTATTTCTGCTCTTGCCGCCAGCAACACTCGCGACGAATCGTCGCAACACGCGCATTTGGAGGCTTTTCCCCAACGCAAAGCGGTGAAATGACGCGCGGGAAGAGAGACAGATCCGGAATGGTAATCGCGAAAGAGAAACGGAGACGAATAGCGTATAGAAATAAATAGACGTGGAGATCAAACATAGAAAAAGCTGACAAAACACGCGCGAGATAGACTTTATCTTACGTACTTAAGCTGAGCTGGCACTTACATTTGCAAGTCCTTAACCTTGACAACTTTTCCAAAAGTACCCTCTCCTAGGGTGGCCAGTACTTTATCTGCAATGCAAAAACTAGGGTAAATGCTCGGCGGATGCAGGCTTCGCGACCGTCGCGGAGAGTCCTCGTCCGACGTTGACCGGACAGGCAAAGGGTACCGTCCGTCGTTCTTTAGACGGGAGACAAGATTCGCCCCGCTCCAGGGAAAGGCGTCGTTTAAAGAAAAAAAAAAAAGAGAAAAAAAAAAGAGAAGAAACGCGAGTGAGACTCCTCCGCGCGGACGCTCGGCCGATCGGTGCATTATTTATTAATCGTGTATGTCGCGATTGGCGATGATAAACGGAATAATGAATAAACGAAGAATGTTATCGTAGAGTTTCAAACAATATCGATCGGAATACTGCTCGCCTAAAAGATCCCTGTGACCGAGGGGGGGGTAGATAGCAACCTGATAGTTTCAACGAACGCGTGGGACATGACATTCACTGTCGACCGAGGCGAAAGAGAACTTGCGCTCTTCTTTCATTGTTTACGACGCGTCTACAGACATTTACTAAATTAATGAGAGAGATGGTCTCGCGCGAGAAAAGCGAGACCTCGTTTCAAAGCGCGAAAGCGAATGCCGGATGTCCTCGCGCGCACGTCCGAGTATCGTAAGAGGGGAAACACGTCGTCCCGAGGAAGACGTATCGAGGAGATAGCGCAAGCGATCTGCTTTTTCTTTTCTTTTTTTTTTTTTTCAAAATTATTTCTGCTCCCTTCCTCCGACTCTCTGTCTCCCTCGCGCTTGAGGGAACCGCGAGATGATGCAATTCGTCAGCGAAAGGAAAAAAAGTCTTTTGCGGCTATTTCTCGATAATCATCATCGAGCTGACGAGCTTCCTATCGTGCTAGAGACGTGACGACTATATTATCTTTCTGAAATAAATCGTACAAGTAAGCAGACAGACAAAAAGAGAGACTATTATTTTTTCGCGTATTCCCGCGTATTGGCGGAAAAATGACTCGGAAAAATCGACGGAGCGGAATCTAGTTAGAGAAAAATCGCGCTAACCGTGTCTATACAAATGTATGTCTTAATACGCGAATGAATGTTCTCCACTATATGTGGCATATATCTACATATGCACGTGTACGCGTGTATGTTGAACAGCGAGAACACTGATAAAATGTGATTAACGCGTAAACTGTGTTACTTTTGTCGTGGTGTTGATATTGTTTCATATAATATATAATGCCTTTATAGATTAGGCGGAGAAAAGTGAAAGAGAGAGAAAGAAAGAGAGCGAGAGCGAGAGAGAGAGAGAGAGAGACAGAGAGAGAAAGAGAGAAAGAGAGTGACAGAGAAAGAGAGAGATAGTAGGGGCAGATACCGTAGATACCGATCGATCAATTATAATCGACCTGAGACTTGCTTAAATCTACTACAATGAGTGTATTTATATAATCACGAACATCTATTTGCCAGGATGTCGCCGGATTGGTATACAAGGTGGCCGTCTTCGTCGTCCTCGACGGAGGGCGGTCGTGGGCTCTATTCGGGCCGGCGGTATCGGTATCGGCGCGTGCCAAGTGAGTGGACCCAATTCGGTACCCCCGTGTTCGCGTCGGCCCGATTCGGTAACGTGGTGAGACGTGGTCGCGCCGGAAGTGGAGCGTATCCGGAGCGTTGAGCGGTCGCCGATGATCGCCGATGGTCGCATCCGTCCATGTCCAGAGGCAAGGGGGGCAAGATGTATCCAGGAAGATGTATCCAAGCCACGTCGTCAACCGATCGCACCGCCGTATGTGTCATCCACCGCCACCACCACCCACCACCGCGGAATCCCGGTGGCGAGACCCGTGTAACACGCGGCAGAGAACACGTGTGTAAGCACGGGACGAACGTACGAGTGTGTCGGTGGGGGCAGAGGAGGGTAGGATAACACCGTTCGCGCCGTCATCACCCATCGTCATTGTGAGAGAGAGAAAGACAGAGAGACGCCAACCGAGTCCGAGACCGTGACCGATCATCCGTCGTGTGTGCCATATCCATTCCGTCGTGTGTGTTTCCATTCCGCGTTCCATTCCATTCCATTACAACGGAGATGGTAACCCAACAATCAGAGAGAAAGGGGAGAGGGCAAAATGGTTTGCCAAGTCAGAAAGTTGCGGTTACGAATTTACCATCGGCACAAAGCGCATATAATTATGTATTCTTTTTTTTTTTTTTTTTTTTTTTTTCGTTATTCTTTACGTTTTTCAGTATTTTGTCCGTTTTTTTTTTGCATTAGTTTTTTTACGGGGCAGTCGGGTTTTTCTATTTTAATTACTTTTTCATTTTTTTTTATTTTTTTTTATTTTAATCTCGCTCGCCTATACTCGTTATACTCGTGTTAGACCTGGTATAGCGTGCCTTTTGAAGGAGCCGTCTCAACACACGCTCTACAGGTCAGAGCACTTCGTACGACCACGAATACACATTCTTAAATGTATATAGATATTATATATGTAGACAGATAGAGAAAAGCAGAGAGAGAATCATATGCGTTATATACATGTACAAAATTCGCGATAAGGTACACACGTCGGCTTCAATGAGAGACATTACATATATATTATATATATTACATAATACATCTCTACTGCGTTTGATCGACGATTATTCTGCGAACGAAATGTTATCCACACGTTTACCCAATCTCGACGGAGGATAAATAAATGTGGCCAAAAAAGAAAAATGAAAAAAAAAAATAAAAAAAAAAAGGAAAAAGACAAATTTACACGAACGAGACTGGACAGCTTCTTCGAAGTGCTCGTGACACGTTACCTTTCATCTAACACGTTCGGAGATGGTATATATAGCTTTATTAAATTTGTTAATTGCTTGATAGAAAGAGACAGAAACTCCGTCAATCAAGTACTTACGTGCTCGTTCGGCGAACGGTTGCTCCACGATGATCGATTAGATTTATCTTTAGATTCTCGATCCTCATGGGGCGCGACCGTTGCCACGGACTGTTGGCGATCGGCGTTTCGACCCTACCTTATCGAAAGCACAAACACGCGCGAACCGAACTCGCTGGTCACTTCTACGTGCGACAGAATAAAACGAAAGGTATCCGAAGAATAGAGGCAGAACCGCGTGTACTCTCTCGTAATCTTGGACGCGTCATAAAAGATCATCGAAATGAATCATTTTTTTTAAATATATTCGCGTGTCATACTTTTAATGCGAGAATCATACTAAAATCTAATCTCCGATTGGTACAAAGCGTCAGTCTTGAATATCGAGTTAACATGTTGAGGAAATGTTGTCCGATCCATTAAATCATCAGATAAGTGAATTAAGGATGTTTTGTACCTATTTTCAAAATATTGAGGATTTAATGAAAATTGTACGGAATGTCCTTATATATGTTTAGAATCTTCAGTACAATTTTTAAATCGATTCACAAGTTAGAAGGATTTTAATTTGCACCGAATTAACATGTGTTCTTATGGGAAACGTATAACCACGTCGATTCAAGTGACAAAAACATATGGAAATAATATTCAGAATTAGTTTAAAATTTGCAAAAGTTTAGATACAGAGGAAATATTTGGTCAAATAATATTATACAAGTACTAAATGGTTAAAAAGATATTAAATATAATTCAATGAAGTTAGCCATGTATCTGTCACAAGGCGAAATTCTCTGGCAAAAGTTAATCATTTCGATTAACAAAATTCGGAATATTTCAATAAAAACGCAATAAATATTAAAAAATGCATCTCTGCACTGTAGCTGAGATCAAATTGAAATATTCCACACAATTTCTTACTCAAAATACACCAAAAGTGGATATATTCGTCAATATTGATTTTAGCTACTTTTTGCTGGAATTGTACATTCAAAACATCCTTAAATATTGCGTATCTTATTCATGAAACTTGTGATTTTCGAATCGATAACAGAGAGTCGATTATATCGTATTGTTGATAAGATGGATCGGGCAAGAAGTATCCCAGAGATTTCAAAGTACTCTCACGGCAAACATTGGCGCTCGTGCAATTTCTTAGCTTATCGAAGAGGCATGGTTGCTCGGTTAATAGACTATTCAACGCAGACAAGTGAGAGGAAAGAAGTTTGCACTTGTGCATACTCATACACACACAGATATACACACGCATACACACGCATGTGAACGAGAAAGGCAAGACAACAGCGGCAACGGACACGCTTTGCTTAAAACGAGACGCCGCTTTTGCGGAAATCCGGGCCACGTGGTTCGACAACTTACGATCGCGCGGCAGATCGCGGCCATCTCGCTAATCGTGTTCGAGGCTACCGTGCTCTTGGGCGCGTTGTCCTTCTGATTGTTACAATGATTGCTCTTCCTGTACTTGTGGGCGATGAGGTCAGTCGTGCTGGGACGTGCATTCGTCGCTTGTTTTCCGGACGCTAATTGGCTATAAGTATCCTCCATGGCGGCATATTTCAGGATCAAGCTCTGAATCTCCTTCCGCTTGGCCGCCCTATCCGAGATCGCTGGATCCTCCTCCGTCGATGCGATATTTTTGGCGACGTTCTCATTGTCCGTATTGGCGATTGGCGTCTTGTCCGGGTCCATCGCAACTTCCTCGCCGTCCACGAAAGGTTCGATCTTGATAGGTCGGGTTAATCTTAGAGACGTCGAGTGGGCTTCCAATTGCTCACTCTTACCGTTTCGATGCGGTCTAACTTTCCGACTGCGCGTTTCCGCGTGTCCGGACTTGTGTCTGCCGTAGCGACGATAAGCGTCCGAGCTCAGCAGGATCTGCGTACGATTCATACGGCCGTAGGCAGGTGTTTTCTCTCGTCTGGGTTCTCTACTGATCGCGGAGCTCACGTAAGGGTAAGCCTTCTCGCTGAGAAGCACGCTGGTGGGACTCTTGATGACGCTGCGGCTCACCGAGGGCTCCAGGGTCTTGTCATCGCGAACGAACGGACTGTCTTCTCGATGGTAATAGCTGTGATCGCGCTCCTTCCGCGAATAACCGCGAACATTCTGCTCCGAATCGTCGGCAGGTTTCTTACTGGAATACTTATCCAGAATCGTATTATACTTGTCCTCCAAGCGGCTCCGCGTGCTTCCGAATCGGTTGATGTTGTGGCTGAGGTTGGGCAATCTATCGTTGAGCGCAGACGTTCCGCGCACTCGTGTGGTCAGTTTCTGCAGGAGACTCGTGCAGGAATCACTCAGCAGCTGCGTGACGCTCGTCGTGGTGGACGAGCGCCCGTAGCGATTTCGTCGCGAGGTTGAGCCTTGCCGGGAGGTCGACATGTCGCGCGGTGCGAATATGAACATTTATAACAGCTTCAAGTTGCGACCGAGTCGCGAATCTTGTAGAATCGATTTGCCGGAAGATTGAACACTTGAAAGATTGTCTCTAACAGGAGGCCAGCTTAGCCCAAACTTTGCTGGCTGAGTCGTATGAGAGGAGCGGCTGCCGCAGCCGCTCGAAGACACCACCGAGGCTGACGAAACAATTCTCTACACAGGTGCATCACTCTACGGAAGGGCGCGGGAATACGCCGACTCGCGCGAGAGAACGATACGTCGAGGAAGGCGACCAAACTGCGACCACGACAACGGTCAGGGAGACGACGATGACGACGACGACGACGAGAAGGAGGCGAACCTCGCTGCGCCCCGCCAAATACTCTCTCGTCGCACTAAAAATATCAGGGAGCGATGGTGAGCTCGCTCTGAGAACGATTCATCCTCCTCTCTCGAAAGGCGACTCTCCGAGAGCGATCAGAAAACGGAGCGACGAAGAGAGGCGCGATTAGCGTAACTCGCACGCGCGATCGTGAACGAAATAGAAATAGAGAGAGACGAAGCGAGATGTACAGGTGGGAAGAAGAAGAAGAGGAGAGTCACCACTGGTATTACGTAAATTCGCACTCGATCAGAATGCGCCAATCGAGCTTCGACGTTGTTTTCTTAATGAAGGGGAGAATTTGTCCGTTCGTCGAGAAATGTTTTTATGGGGAACCTAGTGCGAGCATCGTATTTTCTACGCGATGAACCGCGCCGCCTGTTCTCGTACCTTGACACACATCGAAATTGCGAAACGCGCCGCGACGCTAACCCGATGTAGGTCTGCTCGAGATATCGGTCTAATATTGACCACTCAATAGTTGGCATTTTTCTAAACAGAGATATTAATATATATTGAAACGATGATAACCAGATGCGACTAAACACATCATGAAGTCAAAAGTCTCTTCTATGAAGAATGATAAGAGATGAGAAAAAAGAATTTGTACTTTAGATAGGAGATAAAAAAGAGAGTCTCTATATAATTATAGTGATTGTTTAGATTCATTTAATTTTGAAGTTTTCTTTTTCACGAAATGTTTTCACTCGCCTCGATCGTGAATAACGAAAGATAAAATCGAACTTTTAAAAATTATCTAAAAAAAACTCTGCGCACGACTAGTGTTTTCATTAGATTTGAAACATTAAAAAAATTCTTAGATTTTTTAATAAAATAGAAATCTTATTGCATAGAAATTACATCATCTCTGTTGTTATTGTCAACTAAAATTCTACGTTATGTACGATACAAAAATAAACATCTACTAATATAATAAGTATTAATTTATCATCAAAAATTATCCAAATCATTAAATGAAGATAAGATTATATGAAATAAACATGATTGAAAAAAAGTTCAAATATTAATTTCAAGATAAATAAATAAAGTACAAAAATCGAGATAAATATTATGATTTTAAAGCTTCTGGCTAAAATTAAGAGGGTTTGATCAACGGATAGCCAGATAGATTCTGTAATACTATTAATAAAACTTGGGTTTGTCTTCAAGGTCAGGATGTCGAAGATATCGTACTATCATGTGTACACATAGATTTTAAGAATATCGGTATAAATACACGCAGTTTAGAAAATAGCGACGCAGTTTATTCGCGCGAACTTCTCGCCCACTTCGGTTTCAGAAATCATGTCTAAAATATTTTCTAGCGAAACGACTCTGATTAATTTGGCTCGAGTTCAGACTATTTAAAAATACAGACACGCACTTTTTTTATCTAGAAGAATAAAAACGAAAAAATAAATAAAGTATTAAATTTCTGCTAAAGTTCCACATTATATACATATTACATGTAAATAAATAATTCTGAGCATGAATCCAAATTTAGTATTGTACCAAATTTAATTTGCACTAATTGCGATCTTATATAATATTACTTAATAAATTATATAATGTGTACTTAATAAATCATATATTGTATAGTGACAAGTTTTCCTCCATTAGGTCGCGTTACAATAACGGAAGCAATCGACGTCGCAACGGAAAGTTACGCGTATGTTTCTTCCGCTCCCTACCTCAAGAAAATATTGACCAAGGTTACCACACTATCAGGTTAAAAACGGGGTGGGAGGAGCGAACGGAGAGAGAGAAGAAGAAAAGAGGCGCCGTACTCTGGAGCATTCGCTTCGTTCTCCAAGTCGTCGTCGTCGTCCTCGCGAGAGCGGGCTGTGCCAAATATAAATCGGCAGTCCGAAACGCGTGCGCCACGATCGTCACGCACAGAGAAGATGAGAACCTGCCGTCAGTACGCGCCGTGTTTAAAATGTTAAAGTCCTGGTTGGCTGCGCTTAATCAGCCCGAGGTTCGCACAGTGTCACCGCTGTTGCCTGCATGGCGAGTGGCCAACAGAAATGCACGTTCTGTACATTTAACCCTTTCACCGAAGAAGAAGCAGGTGTAATTCATCAAGTTATTGATGCATGAAATATTCCTCACTTACGAAGCTAAAAAGATTTCAATTAAACCATGATTCTTAATGTTGAAACTGATGAAAATAGAATTTTAATACCTCATAGTTAACAATATTATCCTCAATCATCTTTTTGCGAATTCACTGTTAATTTCTTTTTCTTAATGTTTAACCAATTATTTCTTTAGCGACAAAAATAATAGATTTCTAAGGAGGTGCTGTTAAATTGTTTGGATTCAATGTGCAGAGAAAAGAATTGGAACAGAGGGTGAAGCGATAATAAAGACACCGAGCATAGGCAATACGCACACACACTCTAGCAATTAATTAATTATCGAAGATCGTGGAACCATACGAAGGTCTTTAATGTTGGTGCTACCTCGGAAGCCGATGAGTCGTTAGTTTCAGGCGTGACATCAAGTTTCACGTCAAACTCTCTCGTAGTCTCGATGACATTGCGCTGCAACCACGCGTCCCAATCGTGACGCGGCCACCAGGATACGCTTCCGCAAGGCATCAGCAGACTTAGTTCCTGATTCGTCGTTGTCTGAAAGGACGATGACGACGATGACGCGGCCGATGATAGACTACCATGGTCGGCCAGGCCGCCGCCGTCGCCATCGAGCGCGATCCAACTTCCAGAATCCAGGTTGACGATATGCGCGAAAAGAGAGAGAGAGAGAGAGAAAGAGAGATGTGGTTCACCCGGGCACCTCGCGTCGCGTTTCACAAGCACATCTTGTGCCAATTGCAACGCGTGTATTTCTAAATTCAGGTTGAACAATTCTGGGTCGCCGGATAGGCTTTTTCAACCACAGCAATGATGCGGAATTGACACAATGTAATCTCGTATTTGAAAAATCGATCGTCCGTAGTTTGTTACTCTTGAAGCACTTTTTAGATCCGAAGGAACAGATATTGGAACTTTCTCTGATTTAGATACAAAGATGCCTTCGATGTCGACGATAAGATGACTCCCCATCGAGACGTTGCGTTCAGATCGAAATTCGAAGGCGAAATATACTCGCCTTCGTCGTCAAGCTTCCTGGCGAATCGTCGTCCTCGCGGTCGCTTTGAACCGGCTTATCTGCCGGTACAATGTTTCCCGACGACGACGGCGGCGGTGGCGACGATGTTGCGTTGGCCATCTGGCGCAAACTCGCACTAAAACCGCGGCGAAACCGCGTGACGAGTCCGCCTCGAAAATAGTCGCCGGTCGAAAATAGCCGGCGTCAAGTAAGAAAGAAGAATCATCGGTATTCGCTTTGGATATACACAGCGTGTCCGCCACAATTTCCAGGACTGTTCTCACTTGGTGGAGAGCTAACTCGATACTGCCAAACTACTCCACTTCTGCGTGTCTTTAAGCTTCCAAATCGATCTCATCGGAAGATCTCCGCCTCGAAGTTCGATAAGATAACAGATCAAAAATTGCTTCAAACATTTAATCATTCAGAAATTAAACTTTCCTTTAAAAGGCAGCTTAAAAATCGATTCAATTCTTTGCAGTCTATTCTTGTTCGATGATTTCGATTCATTCTCAAACATTCATGCTTTCATACATGGATTATTATTGCTACCCCCAGCTTAATCGTCATCATATCCGCACATGCATTAGAGAATTAGTTTATACTGTGAAATTTTACGACACGTTCACAGTAATAAAATCACTTTATCGCTTCATAAAGAGCCTACATTATTCAACAAACGATATAAAAATTTTACACAACGGAAGTTTGATCGAAACATATACAGAGTAATGCTTACATCAATTAAAAAAATTTATCTGTCCAATCGCTACTCGGTTTGCCGTGAGAGTTTTCAAATCATTCAAAAAAATATGTGCATATAAAGAAATATGATTTTCAAAATCACTTTATATACATATTTAAAAGAAAGATATTCTACATAATTATGGAAAGAGTATATTATATCGCATTCCATTTCCATTTTTTAGATCTAAACTCGAGACATAAGTTCTTGGTGCATAATGGATAATATCTATTCAATGAAACTTTTCCCGATAAGGAATCGTCGGTACGAGTACGACAGAGTACAAAAGCGTCTTCTGCTATTGTGTATGTTTTCGTAGGGTTAGGGGTATGATTAAATCTCAAACTGTTCGTAGATCGTTGTATCACGCGGCGCGCAGTACATTATATGGTGACGGGCAGGAACGCGTAATATTGATGCCATTACGTATGTCATATTGTCCCTCGGACTCACCTGACTCCTGGTGGACGGGGATCGATGACGATGACGCTCCGGGCTGACCGATGACGAGCCATGATGACGATGAACGCGCGTACGTCGAGATGATGTGGGATGCGCCAGATGAGGACGATCTCGATCACGATCGCGATGACCGTGTTGTCTACCGCTGCTGGGTGATCGGCGATGGCTGCGCTTGTACCGACGTTCCTGGCTGGTGCCACGCTCGTGCTGACGAGATCTCAACACTCGTTCTCCGCTGAAATGTAATAAATGAAATTAATATATAAAATACAAGAACAAACGAAGTTATAATATATAAAAAGTAAACAGATATTACGATATTGC